CCCCAGCCATATGCTTATCTAAGGTTTATGCAAAGACAAACCCCAAGTGATCAAGTTAATACTAACTGTGTGATATCAGAGCAGAATTTCCTGACTTACCTTTTATTCTTAAGCCATCGGTGGTTCTGGCCGTGACTCTGACCACCAAACAGAGCAGCAGAATACAGAACAAGCAGACCCGCGTCATCTTCTGTGGGTGACGTGCGTGTTTTGTGGGCTAAAAGGGAAAATTAAACGTTGGAAGCCTATTCCGGGCCTCACACTCCACTCGCTGGCATTGGCAACTTCAGAGACCCCCAAAGTCTGTAAACGTGGAGCCTGCTGGGAAAAACAAACACATGGCAGACAGTTATCTGCTGATCAGAAACCTGATTCTCTGAGGAGATCTAGCAGGGGAGCAGCTAAAGACACAAACTTTTCTGTTCACTTTTAAGCCAGATGGCAAAAACACAAACAATTGTCAGGCCAAATAGTTAAAGAGAGAGCCTGTATTGACTGTGAGCAGCTGTATTCTTAACCAGATGTCCTGCTATCTGTCCCACTCGTATGCCTCACATTGTCCAGGCTCTCCTGCGTGATGAATAAGGAGCAGGGCTGTTACTGCCTGTTGTTTGTCAGTGGATGGTGCTTGGTCTGTCCCGGGATAATGGGCCCTTACTAGGAAAACACTTGAAACTTGCCAGGAAGCTACAGAATCTGAAGGAGCAGCAGAGAGATTGGACTAAAAGTTGATGAGACTTCAGGTTCAGGAGGTGGAAACCCAAAGACAGGAGGAAAACAGTGAAATGGGTGGTGGTGGGTTTTCAAAATCTGAAATGCACTGGTGTTCTTACCTAGACCCAGATCTGGTAACAGGGCCAGCTACAAAGGCAGTTTTATGATTGGTCATTATATTTTTTCCTACTTAATCTGTGAATCTATAAAATTCTATGGTGCCTTGAAATGTTTTTTTTAATCTAACAAACAGTCCAGAACCACAGTGATATCCAGCTTACTATTAAAGAAGTCAATGAAAAGCAGCAACTCCTCAGAAATAATGGGGGGGAAACAGAAAAAGCAGAAAGCTTATTGCTAATGAATTAATAATATTGACTTTCACTTTATGAACTGAAGTTTCAACTCAAATAAACAATTGCAACTATTTTTCAGCTCAAAATAATATTCACAGTATTGTTAGCTGTGAGTTTTACCTCCAGATGTTGTTATACGTTAGGAATGATCGATAAACCTGTTTCAAACATTTTGACTCGCATAGAAAGTGATATTGAAGTACAGAGGTTATTAAAGCGGTCTAAGCATCTGAATGCGGACAAACAGTAAACTGACAGTCTGTAGGAACGCTAAAGGAATAATACACTGGTTTTCTTTTTTCTGCTGCAAGCACAGCAAACTGAGCACAGGCGCCAGATCCTGGTGCGTGCGCTCCATGTAGGCAGGCCGCGCCCACACACACACAGATACGCACGCACGAACACATACACACACTGTTTAAAGAACCAGCTTGCTGAATGAAACGTATTCTTTCTCAATTAAGGACTGGAAAACATTTTTCTCCTGCTGCTGCTAATTCCGCTGGCACGCAGCCTTCCCGTATTCAGCTGGAGCCAAAACACTTCTGCTGTATTGTACTTTTATATTTCAGTACCATAATCCACGCTCAATAAATCACCTAAGAGCTGTATTAATGTCACACCGTGCGTGTAGTTTACAATCAACTCAAGAACCGACGAATGAGAATCGTTGTTTGTTTCACAGTTAAACCTAGAAGTTTGTAATTTTGGAGCCCGCACGTGAGCCCCCCCCTCAGTCAAAAACTTTGATCTGCAGAATAAAGGAGCTGATAGTGTTTAGATAATGTTCCTGAAAAATACTTTAATTAAATGTTAAAAAGGATGATCAATCTTTCTTTCACGCGTTAATGGCACTTGTGGTCTGATGAAGTTCAAACTCCGCTTTGGGCGATATAAACAATCTTTTCTCCTGACAAGTGGAAAGTTCAGTGTCTACTAATTGATCTGTTTTACTTTCATTGGGAAACACACATAAAATTATAAATCTTTCGTCTCTAAACCCCCCGATTAACTTAAAATTAACTCGTTGGTGGGTGAAATTACACTGTGTGTTCTATCAGTCCTATTCGGTTTTTTTCATGATGGATGGTGGCATTATATGATCTATAACTCTCTGGTAATCTAGCCCCCGGTCCGCCGTGCCTGCTGATAGGACAAAAATGAATGAAACTCAAAGAAGCTCCAGCTGTCTCTGTCTGTTTTCACCCACCTTTGCTTTGGGTCTGTCCTCGCAGTGATAATTGGCACCGGTGTGGAAATCACTCCTTGTCCCGGTTGATCCGAGCGAATATTGAAATCCTCATTTGGAGAGCCACTTTTCCCGGTGTATCCTTCCCAAAAATCAGTCTGTGAGCGTGTTTCAGCTTATGTGTATCCGACTAAAATCGAAGCTGAGCCTTAAATCCATCAAAAAACAGTGGCCTGTTACACGAACGACAGCTGTCGGGCTCTTCCAGTGACCCGGGGGAAAGCGTTGCGATCCCCGGGGCAAAGTCCACTGCAGGCTGCCGCTCAGAAGGCTAAATCCACGGAGATAAAGAAAAACAGTCAGGGAGCGAGGAACTTACGAGTAAGAGTTGTATGAAAATGCTGAAAATGATCCGATTTATAGAGACGGGTACAAAACAAAAACAAACCAAAAAAAACCCCGTGCCCCGTAGTTCAGACTCCCTTCTTGGTTACACTGCAACACCGTTTTGGATACGCGCGTCTTTACGCAGCGCTTCTTCAAGTTCCACTGCTCAGTGTGTTTATCCCAATAAGCTCTGCTGATCAAATGTGGGGCTCAGCCTCCCTCCACAGTCCTGTTTCGTTCAACTGCTGAGAGAGAGAGGAGCGAGCGACTGCGACCTTCGCACACCAGCCCTCGTACAGCACCCTGCTGCTCTCTGGACGGCAGTCACAACAACAATGGTCTGAGAGCGGCCAGGGGAGCAGGAGGAGGAGAGAGGAGGGGAGAGGATAAGGGAGAGAGAGAGAGTGAGAGAGGGGAGGGGTACATCCTTGCCACCCCCTCACAAAACAGCCCCATGCTACCAAAGAGCTGGCAAATAAAACCCAAGACTCTCTCCCCCTCTCTCTCCTCTCTGCAGAGTTGAAATCTAAGTCTAACGGTATTCGGTATTAAAATTGCTAGAAGCATTTTTCTCTCATACAGTAATTAGCCACATAAATCACGCCACAGACGAGTTTTTTTTTTCAAGGTGTCATAATTTATTGGGGGTTAATTGCCCTTTTGAAGACACAACCAATTAAGTCGTTTTTGTGAGTGAATGTGTGAGAACTGCCTCCCTGTTTAATTGCCTCAATGAAAAAAAGCTAAACAACACAAAACAAGACAATGGCATTTAAATAAATACAGGCCCTGCTTTAAAAAAATCTGGTTGTCACACTTTGTCTTAATGTTTCCACTCATTTGGAAGTTTTGATGCATTTTAGTAAAACACATGTGGTAAATTCTCAGAGTTATTAGACTACAGGTCCCACAACTCTTTAATCTTGTGAAGTAAAATGAAGTATTAGCATGCAGCAAAGAAATAGGGTTTCTCCAGGATCAGCATAACATCAGAATTCATGCAGAGATAAGGATAACAACTGATATGACAACAAAGTCAGAAGATGGGAACATAAATCACACAAGTACGCTAATTAAATCATTCCTTCTTCCAGATGCAGTTCAGTCTTCAGCCTCCGTGTCCTATAAAATGTCTTGTGTGCCCTTGGCAGGATATCATCTGCAAACTTTAAAGTAAAGGACAGTGCGTCACTTGAAGCTTTTTATCTCACTAGCAGCTACATATTCTGGTAAAGTCTAATAAATGTCCAAGTTCTTGGATGTTAGATCCCCATCACCCTCAGAAAGTTAATGTCAGAGGTTTATAAAGAGGTTTATCCATCTATTCTCACTTAGAAATGTTAGGATAAGATTTGGAATCCTCTCATCAGGTTTCTTTTTTCTGTTAATGTTGAGTCTGTTCTTTCACCTTTGTGTTTCACTTTTTCCCTGCCATGCCTTTACTACTTATAGCAATCTGTGAGAGGCTCTGATCAACAGGACAAGAAACATGTAACCTGCAGCCCATTCCGATTTGTTTTAGTTTCTTTTGGCCAGTTTATTAAATATATCAGATGCTGACCAACATGCTTTACAGAAAGCAGTTAAAACAATCCTTTAACCTAGTGGAGAAAAATAAGGTGTATGCTAATAACATCAATTTCTAGGAGTAATTTTGTGTGTAATCACAGTGCATTTTTTGCTTTTCACACACCATTGTACACAATATGTTCTGGAGTAAGAAAAGCCTAGCCCTGTCACTAACCCTTACCATTTTGGATGTCATGCAACAGCCATACCCTATCCTACCCTTATGTGTTAAATCTGGAATTTCAACTATGAGCCAGTAAGTAAAATTTGATGGAAGGACTGGATCAGCAGCAGATTAGACCCCATGGCTTTGGATAATACATATGGGAGCAAAGTTCAGCTGTCTGCATATTTTTAACCTTGCGGAACATGAAAAACTCAAGGAAGAGCCTTCAAAACTCAGTTATGTCTTATCACAATATGCTGTACATTTATCATAACTGGTTTTGCATGATCAGACTTGCAAGCTAGCTAACCTGTTATCCTATAAATCCCCAAAGCACTTAAACTCCACCAATAAATTCATTTCAGCCTCGGAGAAATCCTTTAGAATTACTGTTTGTTTTTTTTCCTCTGCTGCACAGTTTTTATTGTGAAGAAAGACAGGAAGGGCAAAAGAATAAGGGGGCAATCGCAAGCTGCGAAGGTCCTGGCCCGATTCAAACATGGTTACATGATACCTGCTTCAGCCAGCAGGATGATTAAAGAAATCGAAGACTTTAGCTGTGCCTCCAAGAAAGCTCTGCCACCTTCAAAATATGAGACCCAAATAAATCACAAACACAAGGAAAGGATCAAGCAGCACACTCCGTTTACTTTTATTCGCAGGTCAAACTCTTCCAGTGGCCCAAATATGAGCGTGTTTAGCTGAAATTTATGTGTCGAAATAAATTCCAGATTTGACCTTTGACACTGCATGCTGCTACGTCAGGTCAGACTCAGCTTTACAGCGAAAGGCAAAGTACACAAATAAACGAGCTAGTGTGGAAGTCATAAAGCAGATAAGAGCTGTGCTAATGCCAACTATGTGGTCAACTGGTGGGACAGCCTCAAAATGTGTGTGTGCGTGTGTGGGGACATAAATCAGTTTACACGGGTACACTGGGTGGGAAGTTTGGGGCACCTTGTTTGGTTTTTGTGAACCAGTAGCAAGTTGGTATGACATAAATCTTTAAATCTAAGTGTAAAGATGTGATAGGATAAGAAGGGATCATGCAAGATCATGAAGGTAGACCTTGAGATAACAAATAAAAGCCAATATAATGTTCTCTGAGGTAGAGGAAACACAACTTTGTTTGTGTAACTGTTAGCTTGCAAAGTACAGCAGCACAGCCCAGATCCCACAAATGATTAATTCGAGGTCGCCCTCCAAGTTTGGCTTGATCTGGGGTCAGAAAGTGAGGTGTGTCTGTGTGTGTGTGTGTGTATGTGTGTGTTTAGGCCTGTGATACCTGTGTTTTGGGAGGGAATAGCAGCGTTAATGATAATGCTCCTTGTTGTTGTGCTAATGAGATACAGTTGGTATTGCTGCCACTTCAATTGCTTCACACACTCACCACACAGTTCTTACAATGAAACCCATTGACACGCCCCTAACTTAGACGCTTTAAGCAAATGCACCGAGTTTGGAGGAGCTAACGTCCGTTTGCTTGGCCGAGCTGCTTCACTTTGAACACAGCACAGTTATCAGTGTCCCTCACAGAAGAAAGAGAATTTGTGGCAAAAGAATTGAGGACTGTTAAATTATAAATAAGACTGCCAGCAGTACACAGACCAAACATTTCAGCCACATGTATTCTATTTACACTAAAAGTCATTTAAAAGGAATTTAAGTTCTCTCTCAGTTGGCTGTTCTACAGTCAAAATTACAGTGGTTCAGGTCAAAATAAGAGGCACCATTTAGATTTTAATTGGAATATTTATTATGCTTATATGATTATTCCAACCATTTAAAATGTGCTATATAATTAGGTCAGTGATTGTGGATGTTATTTACAATACATGTGACCTTTGAGTTTGTGGGTCTTTTCCACTTCCACTACAAGAATTAAAATATCTGTGACCTGCAGTTTCCAAAGAAAGATATAATCTTTTGTAATTGTTATATTTTACATATTGTGTCTTAAGCCAACTTGTATTTCTTCATACTTGAAAACTGAAGCTTTAAAGTCAGTATTTGGTATGACCACCATTATTCTTCATCACAGATTGAACTCTCTTAGGCAAACTTTCTAGCTATTTCTTTAAGCAGTTTTCAGCCCTAGTCCTCTGGGGTTCTCCAAGGGCATGCACAACTTTACTCTGGATGTTGGCTGGTTTTGTTCTGTTCTCTGTCAAAATGATCCCACATTGCATCTCTGTGCCTGTCCTGCTCTCACTGCAGTGCTCAGTACTGTTGACCATAATTTTGTACTACAGAGATTAGAGTATGCTGTAGTTATTAAAGGTACTGTGCTGCAGGGATTTGAATAATATCTAATAGACACAGTTTTGCTCATGTAAATGCAGAGTTCTCTTCACACACTTTGATTAATTATGGAGTTCCACAGGGTTATGTGCTAGGAACAACTCTGTTTACATTATACATGCTATGCATCTTCTATGCAGATGATACGCAACACAAGTCAAATGACACACACCAATTAGTTAAACTGTAGGGATGTCTTAAGCACAAAGAACTGGATGACCTCTGATTTCCTATTTCTAAATTTAAGTAAACTGAACACTTTGCATTTAATTTTTAATTAGTGTATCTTTAGTTCTGTCTTCCTCACCTCCTCAGCCGGTCACAGCAGATGGCTGCCCTCCCCTGAGCCTGGTTCTGCTGAAGGTTTCTGCTTGCTCATAGGGGGTCATCTGATTGTGGGGTTTTCTTTGTATCATTTTAGGGTCATTGTGGCCAAATAGTTCAATATTTGTCGTGTGTAGACTCTGAAGCAGGGCTGCTTCATCGTAGTCCCTCACAGTCCATGCGATGTAAAACTGGCTTCACTGTGGATGCGGGCATTGGTGTTCCAGCAGTTTCCAGTTCAAGGTTTGAGCCTTTGTTGTTCCTGGGTTGTTCTTGAAGATCTTAACTAATTTCTCATCTGAGGATGACAGTTTGGGTCTCCTTCCAGACCTTGACAAAATGGCTTGTACTTACGTGCAATTGTTTGAACAGATGAACTTGGGATCTGCAGTTGTTTAGAAATGGCTCCACGAGACCTTCCCCACTTATCTTAATCTACAGTTCTCCTTCTTACATTTTTACTGAGTTCATTGGACTTTCCCATTGTTCTGAGTATTGGTCAATACATTGAGTGCTTTCAAACAAGCCCCCTTTATAGTGACAAAGAAAAACTGCTAGTTGTAGTCAATTATGATCACTAATAAGAATTTAATAGCCCTTGGCATTGTCAAGTTAAATGACACTGTAAAACCTTCATCGCCATTTATTAAACGATTTAAGTGAGTGTATGGATGTATTGAGCCTGTATGT